TTAAAAATATGGAAAGGGGTAAGGTATGGGATTTGGGAGAGAGCTTCATAGTTCCTTTGTAAAAGGGGAAAGGGGACAAAAGAGAGTGCCAAAAAATTATAGGGGGATAAGTTTGTTGAGTATTTCCCGGTAAAGTGTATGGAGATTTTTATTGAAAGAATTAAAAGTAGACGGGAAATGGATAGCAGATGAAAAAGGAGGGTTTAAAGGGTAGGGGGGGGTGTGGACCAGGGGGTTTCAGTGAACAAAAAGTGAAAGTTTTTTAGTAAAGGGTAAAAAGGTCTTTGTGGGATTTATGGATTTGGGAAAAGGGTTGACAGGGGGGATAGGGGGGGAATGTGGCAATGTTTCAGGTGTATGGTGTAGGAGGTAGGTTTTCTGAAGGGTGAAGAGTTTTTACGGGATAGGAGTCAAGTTGAGTACAAAGGAAAGAGGGAAATTTTTTCCCCGTAAAGTAGGCCCCTTGACAAGGATGTGTGATGTCACCGTGGGTTTTTTAAAATTTTATAGATGGGTTTGTAAGAGAAATAAAAAAGCGAGGGCTTGAAAAGGGGGTGGAGTTTTAAAAGATAAAGAAAAAAACACATAAAATGGGAGTTGTCACAGTTGCTCTTTGCTGATCACGTGCTCTTTGGGGGAATCTGAAGAGAATTGCAGAGATTGGTGGATATTTGGTAGGGTGTGGAAAAGAAGAAAATTAAAAGTGAAAAACAGGAAAGAGTAAAGGTTTTGGGATAACAAAAATATTAGGTGTTGAAAGTTGGATTCAAATTGGGGGGAGGGTATGGGGAGGGGAAGTTTCAGATATTTGGGAGTGGTGTTCAGCGGATGGGTCTTGAAGGTGAGGTGATCATAGAATTTTGAGGGGGGAAAAGGTGAGTGGTTTTCAAATTAGGAGTTGTGGAGACAAGAATTTTGTCCTTGGAGGCAAAGAGGGGGTTATGAAGTTAGTTTTTCCAACACTGTTATATGGGTGTGAAGATGAGTGATAATGTTGCAGCGAGGGGAAGGCTGGAGGCAGTGGAAAATGTCATGTTTAGGGCAATGTGTGGTGTAAAAATAATGCAGAGAATTGCAGTTTGGAAGTTTTGGAGGAGGGGCGGGATTACCAAAATGTTGTTCGAGGGCTGAGGAAGGGTTTTTTGAGGTGGGTTGGAATTTGAGAGAAAAAGGGGCAAACAGAATGATTCAAGAGGGACAGTCTGTATGGAAGGAAGGGGGGTGGGGGGCGGCCCGGGAAAGGTTGGAGGGAGGGGGTAAAGGGGGTTTTTTGTGGGGGGGTTGGATTACAAAAGGCGTGTGTGGCATGTTTGATAGGAGTAAAGGAGACGAATGGTTTTTAATACTTGACGTGCTTTTGGAGGGGAGCAAAAATAACATTTATGAAGGGGTTCAGGGGGAAAACCCGGAGGGGGACTTTAGTCCGGAGATGGGAAAATACAGGCCTGCACTTGAAGGGGGGTGAAAATTTCAGTTTAAAAACTGGAGTGTAAGGCAAGACGTGATGGGTGAAAGATGGTGAAAATTTTTCTTTTTGGGGGCCCCCCTGCCCCGGTGGGGGGAATCGGCCCCTGTAATAATAAAAAAGTATAAAACATGCTACATAGCATAGAAAACTGCTTGTTTTTCGCTATGGAGGGGTGGTGCTCTGGTCCAGCACCAGAGAAAAAGTGTTTTAAAACGATTTGTCCAGTCACCCCCTTATATTCCGCATTTTTTTACAGTTCTCGGCATGGATTTTTTTACTTTTCCCTTCATTTTTGATTTTATCTAAAGTAGCTGTTAAAATGATTAAACCAGTGAGAAGGTAGTCGTGGGAAAATTGGCTCGGGTGCTTAAATTATAGCTTGTCGCCGGTGGGGTTCATCTACTGGTTACCTTTTCCCCGATTCCCATAATAGATATACTCCCTCTATCCTTCATTAAGATATTCAAATTTTTGGTAAATAATGGTGTATTTTCGGGGCCTTTTTGTGTGCTAGTACAGTACTGCCCGTATGTGAGGGCATGGTACGTATGTGACAGTATGTTCAGTATGTGAGGGCGTGGTACTGTTCTAGCCGTACTGTCCCGTATGTGAGGGCATGGTACTGTATGCAGCACATACTGTTCGTATGTGGGCATGGACAGGGAAAGTGAAGAGACACAATTTAAAAAAAAAGATTGGGACACTAGAATAAATATTTAATCTAAATTTATATAAAAAGAAAAAAGATATTTTAAACAATGCACAGCGTAACAACAGCTCTCGCCATTGGGTAAATATACTGTATATGCAAACAAAACTAACTGTTGACAAAAAATTGTCCCCCATAAAGATACAACAATCTCAAATTGCTGAAACATCGAAATCACTAACATTCAATTCCCAACAACAGTACACAGATTCTGATAGATTGGAGGGGGGGGGGGGTGAGCTAGATTAAGAGCAAGATTCTGGACCTTAACCATAAAAAAGCATTTTCACAATGCCCAGAAAATGTTAAATCTTCCTAATTCTACGTGAAACCCTGGGAACATAGTTCTACAGAGAAAAGAATGTGTCTGGTCTTGCCATTTGAAACATAATTTACCAAAATATGTAAATGATGAGTGTTATGGTGAGCAGAGGATAAACAGGGACAGGCCTGTCCTGCCCACAAGAGGGCTCTGCAGAGAGAATTGGGTTGGCAAGTAATGTAGAGGTGGGGGGGAGGGTGGGTTGCCAACCGGAGTTTGACAACACTCACAGCTTGTCAGTACTGCCAAAACAGTTAACACATGGTAGAGCAGCTGACAGGCAGTCAGACCTCTCTTTCTGCCAACATGGAAACACTTTAAGCTAATTACAAATTGAATAATATGTAATACACAATATCCCTTTCACTTGTCTACAAAAACATTATATATTATACGATAATGCAGTCTTCAAAATACACAACGTGAAATGAAAATTACCACCTGGAGAGCATATAGAATGAGATTCATGTGATGACTATATATAAGTAGTTTTCAGATGTATGAAAGAGTTACAGAAAAACTGTTTACAATGTATATTAGGCTAAAATTGGCATATGCAGCTTCTGTGGTATCCACTGTTAAATGTGGATCAGATAGAAAAAATCAAGATATATCTTTACCTTTGATGAGTTTTAGAGAGTTTTTCTACTCTTGAAGCCCAGCCATGTGCCCAGCTTGTCTGGTGCTTGCCTGTTCAACCAGGCTGTTGATGCTGGTGACTCGCTGACCCACCTATCCATTACAGCCTAGTTGTTCTTTCACCTGGTGAAGATGCTTGTTTGGTTTCCACTTGAAGACTTCTACACTTTTTCCAGCAGTTTCTGGTATCTTATGGCATGATATTGACTAGTCTGGGGCCATGAACGTTGATATAGTGTTGTGCTATTGTGAGATACAGAATTAATCCCACAGCTGGAAAATGAATTAAATATGTGTGAAAACACCTGCTAAGAGGAAAAAGAGAAAATAAAGGACCTCAGTGGAAATAAGCTGCTGACTTTTTTTTGGGGTTATCCTAGGTAATTTATACATGTTACTGGTATGATAATTGTATTTGTGTATCTGTACCTAAATAAACTTAATTTACAAGGTTACAACAAGGATGAGTAAAAATAAATGTTTTTGGTACCTCTGCTAGGGATAACAGATCACATATAAATTAAGAAAAAATTGGGGGGGAAAGAAATGCTATGAAATTTTTCTTTACAAATAGCGGTAGAAGAATGGAATAAATTGCAAGAGGCGGTAGTAAGTGCTACAATTATTAGAAATTTTAAAACATTGTATAAAAATATAAATGAAGACCACCGCAAGCAAATTAACCCTTTCAGGGTTTCCGACATACTAGTACGGCTTACTCGCCAGGGTTATTGACGTACTAGTACGTGTAAAATTGCAGTGCCTTCATATCTAGCGAGAGAAAGCGGTAGGCTATATATGAAAGAATGGGTCTGTGGTCAGTGTGCACAGTATAAAAAAAAATCCTGCAGCAAAGAGTGTATAATGAGAAAAAAAAACTCTGACCGTGTTTTTGGTTTAAAACGGCGACTTTGCACTGTATTTTTGTATGGTATTTATGGTTGTATTCTAGTTTTCTTGGTCTCATTTTATAGAATGGAAGACATATTATGGAAATTCAGATGATTTTGATTGATTTCACAATGAAAAGTACATTGAAATTGACCTCAAAGTAGCAGAAATGTTCGATTTTTGCCTAAGTTCAAAAGTAAACAAATCATGCCACGTGTCCAATACACGTCAACTGGCGAGTCTAATATTCTTTCACAATTCCGCTAATATTATTTATACCATTTCTACACTAATGCAGTAGTCCTCATAACAGTAAATCTTCTATTTTTTGTGAGAAAAATTCAAAGTGGAAAGCAAGAGAGATGTAAGAGGGGCCTGGGGACATGACTGATGAACAGAGAAAATGTTATTTTAGTGCTAGGAATGTCTGTCTTGTTTATTCTGGGCCTTATTTGGAAATTGGCATCTTTTGAAATTTGTGTACAATTGGCAAAATTGCCAATTTCTGACCACTTTATGGGATAGTTGAAATCGGTAAATGGGTGGTTTCTTGTACTCGTTCAATAGAAAAAAATAGAGTTCTAGTGAAATAGTTATGATTTTTGACGATAGTACACTGGAATTGGCCGAAAATAGGGCTCAAAGTGGGCAAAATCGGTGATGCATAAACATCGTCGAGACTGCTAACTTCGCGAGAGCATAATTCCATAAGTTTTCCATCAAATTTTATACTTTTGGTGTCGTTATGATCGGGAAAAGATTCTCTATCATTTCATAAGAAAAAATAAATTTTTTTTTTTTTCCAAAAAATTTTCGACCCTGAGAACAAGTTTAGGAGAGGGCCTCTCGACCCTGAAAGGGTGTTAAAGGTTCTAACATTTTATTAAAATGTTGGGTGTATATGTAAACTGGTGCCATTTGTTTCCAGAGTGTTCAGATAATGGTTAGTAAAAGTGCTTAATACTTTTCAGGTCCTTTTACTGATGTTGTCACATCCCAGTTGAAGCTCACCAATCCCACAGATCGGAAAGTATGCTTTAAGGTAAGATCGAGACAGCCCATTGTATGTTTAATAACATTGTAGCATTACACTAATGATTGATCTTTCTTGGGTCAATTACTTAAGTGAGTAACCTCATGATTTTCAGGGTTTACTTTGTGGAATACTCCTGGTAAGAGGTTTGAGTTTTGAGGCTTGATAAAATGTAAAGTATAAATTCTTGCTGTCGGGATTGTGGGGGTCGAGTCTCGGCTCCTGGCTCCACCTCTTAAACCACAATTGTTGGCATTATTTGTCCCTGGACTCATGGGCTCTGTCATTCCTACTCTTGAAACTGTATCAAGTTTGCCTCTACCATTTCATCTAGTTCATTCCATTTATTTACCATCCTGAAACTAAAAAATAAAGAAGTATTTTCTAAGATTCCTATAGCTTATCTGACTTAAGTTCCCTTTTGTGACCTCTTAACCCTATGTCTCTCATTTCAAAACAAATAGGTTACGGGAAGAGGGATGAAAGTGGCAAAAATTGCCGAGGTACTTCATGGATATGTTCAAAAGACATTGTTCATTATACAGTTACTAATACGTAAATACAGTTTAACTAGTCAACAAACAAACAGTAGTGGGCAGCAAGTGACTTAACTTCCTTAAGGTTTGCTATATTAATAGTAGGAGTGTAAGAAGTAAGATACATGAACTAAGATTAATTACATGTGCAGGAAGCAAAGATACTGTAACAGAGACCTAGTTCAACCTGAAAGATAGAGAAATATGTTCTGAATGCCACATGCAAGGCCCTAAATTGTTCCACACAGATAGGGTCAATAGGAAGGGTGGTGGAGTGGTAATGTATGTTAGAATTTAAGCTGTTGCATTAGACAAGATATAAAAGTAAGTGACAGACACTGAATCTGTTTGGCTACAGTTTTTTTGAGAGATATGAAAAACTAACCTTGGGAATGCAGTAAACTTCTGTGGGACGAAATTCATGAGGCATTTAGGTTTAAAAATGTATTGTTAATGGATTTTAACTTTTTTTTCTTAACCAGGATTGTTGTTTAAAACAGCTTGTGACAGAACCAACTTGAGGAAATAGCCTGCTTGACTTGGTTCTTGCCAACAAGGAATCACTAATCAATAATCTTGAGGTTAATGATGAACTTGGGGAAGAATGATCATAAATCACTTAGTTTCAGTATATCATGGGATTACCTTAACCCTTGCATTCTTCAGACCCCTTATCTAAGAATTACTGTCACTGTCCAAGAATTCCCTCACCAAAAAAAAAAAAAAATGATAGAGAATCTTTTTCTGAAGGTAATGAAACCAAAAGTACGAAATTTGATGGAAAAAATGATGAAATTATTTTTTGGAATTTTACTGTGTCCGCGATATTTACACTGTTGATTTTGCCCACTTTGAGTCCTATATAAGGCCGATTACATTGTTCCAGTTGACCAGATTCTTAGCTATTTCCCTAGTACAGCCTCTCCTCATTTAACGATGGAGTTCCATTCCTGATACTATGTCGTTAAACGAATTCGTCACTAAGTGAGGAGCATACTGTAATGGTAGTGAGTTTGTGTCGACCATCTTTGATATTGTTTTGTCACCTTTGCACCATTTATAACATTTCTGGTATATTTTTAAATGTTGATACAGTAGTGTACGGTGGACCCTCGGGTAACAGTGGCATCGGCTAACGCCAAAATCGGATAGCGATACGTTTTTTGTGTCAAAATGTTGGCTCGGCTAACGCCCAAGAACTTGGTTAAGGGCATTCGTCCAGAACATGTCTGCGCGGCCTGAGCCCATGTAAAGCCAGTGTGCCATTATTTGCAAGCCGGGGAGGATGATTCCACGCATACATGCGATATGTTTGTGTTATTCCATCATTTTTAGTGCTTGTAACTGCTAAATGAGCCACCATGGGCCCAAAGAAAGCTTCTAGTGCCAGCCCTGTGGTAGAGAAGGAAAGAAGCACAATAGAATTTAAGAAAAAACTCGTAGCAAAGTACCAAAGTGGAGGAGGAAGAGAGAGGGAAGAATGTGCCTTCTGCAGTGATTCAGTGATTCTATGATATGTATGATACTAAAGCAGCAGGTATCGATAAAGGACATAGTGGCAGCCAGCAATAAAGTGTAGAATTAACAGTGTAGCATGTAAGCTAATTGAGTAAGTAATAGAAAAACGACATGAAAGGAACTCTCCAATGTTGTTGGATGTGTATCGGGCCAATGAACGTAATGCCCGCCTGCTATCTTTCACCACCCTAAACCTCTGCCAGCATCTCCTCCATCAAACTAACTAATTAAATTAACATCTCCAAGGTAAGTGTAAATATAAAAGTGTAAGTATAAAAGTAAATATGTATGTGTAAATATAAAAGGACCCCTGACTTTTTTTGGGTTATCCTAGGTACTTACACACATGCTGCTAAGTATGATAATCTATGTACGTAACTGTATGCATTTGTTTATACCTGAATGAACTTACTTATTTCTAAATTAAAATGTAAATATTTCTTATTTATAAATTACATACATTGTTTAAGTGTGATAGTGTTGGTGGGTTCTGTTGCTGCCTCCATCACCACTATGTACAGCTTCTCTTGGTGGCCCTTATAAATCCAACAACAACACTTCCACCACATACTCCTCTCATACATTGACATATTTTATTCATTCTAGAGTATATATCATGTTTCTATGTTATTAATATTGTTTATTATGTCATATTAGATGAATTGTGATAGATAAATAAGCCGTAGAGATAATAGCGTCATATTGAAGCATAATAAACTCGTCTCCCTCTTGCCTCCTACCTGTCTTCCATACACCAACAAGAGTCAGTAAAGGTAAGTATGATGTTAAATGTTCATTTATCCATTTTATTAGTGCTTTATATTTATTTGTCATTGTTTTCTATACGTATATCTATATTTAGACTTTAAAAAAAAATTTTTTTTTGTTAATACTTTTGGCTGTCTGAAACGGATTAATTGGATTTCTATTATTTCTTATGGGGAAAATTAATCCCTCTAACGGGAAAATCGGTTAAAGGCAAGCTCTCTGGAACAGATTAATGCCGTTACCCGAGGGTCCACTGTACTGTATATTGAAAAAAACAGAATAGAGGAAATCAGCTCTAATATACATTATTTAGCTATGAATACTGGTCAGAGAGCCTGTGAGTTGAGCTCATGGCATAGTACTATGGCATGTACCCTGGTTTCAATACCATAGAACTACAGCACAAACCCTCAAAGATTCTAAATTAGTGAGAGCGCCCTAGTTTTAACCCTTTCACTGTCGAGACCCCTGCTCATAAACTTGCTTGTAATGTTGAAGAATTAAAAAAAAATACAAAATTTAATGGAAAACTAACGGAATTATGCTCTTGTGAACTAAGAGGTCTCGGCGATATATACGCATTGGCGATTTCGCCCACTTTGACCCCTATTTTTGGCCAATTCCAATCTTCCAGTTAATGAAACTCATAGCTATTTTGCTAGAAATCCATTTGTTCTATTGATTGAGTACAAGAAACCACACATCTACAGATTTCAACTACCCAATAAAGCGGTCAGAAATTGGCAATCTGGCCAATTTCACACAAATTTCAAAAGCTGCCAATTTCAAAGTAGGGTCCAGAATAAACAATGCAGACATTCCTGGCACTAAAATAATATTTTCTCTGTTCATTAGTCATGTCTCCAGGCCCCTCTTATATTACTCTTGCTTTCCATTTTGAATTTTTATTCACACCAAAAATATTTACTTTTATGCAGACTGCTGCATTATTATAATAATTGTATAAATAATGTCAACCCATTCATGACTTCGTATTAGACTGGCCAGTTGGACACGTATTGGACAGTGGCGTCATTTGTTTACTCTTGAACATCGGCAAAAATCAAACATTTCCGCTAATTTGAGCTCAATTTCAAGGTACTTTTCATCTTGAAACCAATCAAAATCATCTCTATTTCTGTAATATATCTTCCATTCTGTCAAATGAAACCAAGAAAAAGAGAATACAACCATAAATACCATATGAAAATACACCTCAAAGTAGTCATTTTAAACAAAAAGTATTTTTTTTTCTCATTATGCACTGCATGATGCAGGATTTTTTCTTTTATACTGCCCTCACTGATCATGCAGACCCATTCTCTTGCATGTAGGTCTACCAGCTTTCTCCTGCTAGATTTGAAGCCGCTAGAATTTTGGTGTAATACCATGACACCAACACTGGCTTGCAAGCCCTATTGCTTGGGCTCCGACAGCGGAGAGAGAGAGATTCACGGTAATATATATGTATCTGGAAAGTACTTGAGGGCCTGGTCCCAAATCTGCACACTGCCATAACATACTGGAGCAAGAGATATGGGAGGAAGTGCAAAATAAACCCAGTGAAAAGCAGGGATGCGGTGGGCACAGTAAAGGAACACTATCAACATTCCTGGCCCTGGATTTTTCAACATCTTACTAGAAGATACCAGAAACACTGCTGGAACAAGTAGAGAAGTAAAGAGAAAACTGGACAAGTGTTTTCAGGTGCCAGATCAACCAGGCTGTGATGTGATGAATGGTTTTAAAAACCAAAAAGTTGAGGATTGAGACACTTGTGCAACATATTGGAATAAAGATTCCCATATGTGGCATAAGTGTTTCAATCTTCAACTTGTCGGTTTTCAAAACCATTAATCACAACTGTCAGACACTGCATCATCATGGGATCTTGATACAAAGAATTCTTCAACCTTGTCCAACCTTTGGACGAAGACCTACTTTGACTAGTGGATGGTACCACTATGACCCTGCCTCTTCCTGCATCACCTCACCTGACTACAGTATATAAGCCAAGTCTATGGCCCTATGCTGTACATTCTACAAGATTGATGGACTGAAGACATTGACTCCAGGCTGAGGGACTGATTACCTCAAACTACTACTCTCCTTACACCTTTCTGCTTTGTATTGGACTGATGAAGCCACTGTGTGGCAGAACGTTTCCTCAATAAAGATTCCCATATG